CGATGAGGAATAAAACGTCGCCGGAGAGTCCTCCGCTCCTCTGAGGGCTGGGAAGGAGGGAAGGCGAGACTTCGATCGCGTCTTGCAGAGGGATCTGCGAATTTGCAGGGGAAAGGCGCCGTTGGGCACAAATCACCAGATGCTTTAGCAACGCCGGAGAGGCAGTGCTACATCGTTTTGCTTCGGCCCCATCATGGGCACTGGCATGTGTTCGAGGAGGCAGAAGGGGCTTCTGCAGACCGGCTTTTGCCTGGTGACCGTGGCGTGTTTGGGCTCGGGAGTTTTCATGTACAACCACTTGCAGCAAAAGGTGCGGAACGCTGAAGCCCTGGCCCAGAAATACAAACAGCAGCAGGAGGCTCTGTCTGCCCAGCTCCAAGGTGAGTGACCCCGCTCCGCCCGTGCTCGCATGCTGGCTGGACTCCTAACGGCAACCTGCTGGCGCTTTGCTGCGCAGCCCAGCGACAAGTGGGGTGCCTTTGAGGAGCAAGGCTCAGCTTTTGGCTTAAAGGAGCTCTAAGGAGACGTTGCTTCTTATTTCCTTCCCCCCTTTGCTGCCTAGAATTAGAATAGCCTCAGATCTGAATCGCTGCTCGCAGCAGCAAGGGGAACGGAGTGTGCTGGATTGGGGAGTTCAGCTGCATCGGCTCTATTCCATTTCTTCTCCCTCTAGTTCCCTTTGGCTGTAGAGACTAGTCCTGTGTCGTTCGCAACGTGAAGCAGTCACAGTGCCCACAGGACTTCCAGGGGCTGCTTAGGCAGGCTCCCAGGTGCGGCTCCACTCTGGCCTCCGCGAGCGTCTGTCCAGAAAGCGGCCAGGGAGGCAGGGGCTCCGTTACTGAAGTTGGTCGTCATGCTCTCCACTGCCCGTTGCCTTTGCAAGGAGGCAAACCTGTCTCCTCAAGAGACTGCTCTGTGCCTAGAAAGTCTTGCCAGCTTGTTTGGGGCTGGTAGGTGCTGCAGCACAGAGCTCCTTAAAAAGCAGGGAGGAGGAGGAGGAGGAAGAATTGGCTTTTCTGAGCCCGCTGACCAGCAGTTGGTTCCTCTGGCAAGAGCTGCCAGAAGATGGGAAGGCAAGCATCGTATGTGTACTCCCCCTCCCCTTCTCTCCCTCATTTGTCCTCCTTCCATAAATGTCGAACTGTGGGAGAATGACATTTTAGCCCCTGGAGAGATCGCAGTAAGGAAGGCTGAGGACACATGTTACTCCATTGCCGAACTCTTATCTTCTTTGTCCGGTCTGTCCTTCCAGCCTTACCGTGTCCGCCAAAGCTGTGTTTCCAGCACCTGTCGCTAGATCTGGAGTCTCTGGGGGGATTTGCTGAGCTCCCTGTAGAGAGGTTTGGTGAGGATCCACTCTTTGGTAGCCAGCAGTTGTGTGTCTGATGCTGGAGTTGGGCTTGGTTCTGGAGTGCCCGCAGAAAGAATTTTATTTGGACAAAATATTTTTTTTGCCTGTGGATCTAGTGACTCAAGGTCAAGAGATTCATTTTGCACTTTTTCTCCTAACAAGTGGGTTTAGATCATAGTGTTTAAATCCAGAGCTCTTCCTCAGGCTAAAATCAAATATGGGGTATGCGTTACGACCTCTGTTGACATAGCCAGCGACATCATTTCTATAGCCTGTATTGCTGGGGAATTCTGCGGATCTGTGACTCAACTTATGTACCTTTTAGGGTTAAATCTCTTCAATGGTTTTATGTGTAGCATTGGGATGCAAATGGAACGTTGTGTATGTGTGTCTTGTGCCCTGGGCTGTGTGTTTCTACCTGTAAACTGGGAAAGCGGAGCGTGGTGTGTTTTGTTTGTCCCAAGGAAAACATGCTTTAAAAAACCCAATCAATCTTGTGAATTGACCTAGTGTGTGTATAGGTTTAGTGCTATTATCTTATGTTTTGTTTCCACTTCTTACTCTAGCACAAGGCAGTCAAACAGCTACAGCTCCTAATGTGTTGCACAAACCCAGCCACAGCGATTTCCACCTGCATCCTGTGTTTTGGAAAGCAAACAGCAGCAGGGCAGAAGTTAGCCCACATTCCTTTCTGGTGTGTCAGCATCTCTTGCTTCTCTTGGAGAGAGGGGCTGGTTCTTCAGAGAATAAGATGACAGTGGTAACCTCAGGGAACCCCAGTTTTGGGAACAGCAGGCTCAAGCTGAGACAGGCTCATAATATTTTTTTTCCACCCAAATATGTTTGAATGGCAGAGCTGTAGCCTGTTGCTGGGGTTTCTAACCCTCTGTCAGTCCTGCTATTCCTAAATACAGTTGTTGCCATGGAGACCTTTTTTATTTTGAGAAGACACTTACTTGTCCAACAATTTTAACGCAGGCAAAGCTGCTTTTTGGATTTGGCTGGTGGGAGAAGCCTAGCAATTGGCAGATAGAAGCCGTGTTCATGGAAGTCTTAAAGCGCAGTGGCGTCTTGCGCGTACGTCCGTGGCTCTTGTGCCGTCGCCTTGCAGCGCTGCTCCCTGCGGTGCTTTGGTGCTGAACGCAGGAGCGTGGGCAGCCGGGGCTCTGGGCTCTGGGCTCTGTCCCTGCCCCTGTGCTGACTTGTTGCATGACTTCAATTGCCGTGTCTTCTGCATCCGATTTCTGTCTTTCCAGCTCTGCAAGAGGAGGATGTGTTGTTCTGAGTACTGGAATTCGGTACTGTTTAGTGCTTCAGGTGTCTCCTTTCAGCTATCGAGTGTTTCCTACCCTTCATGTATCCAAGTACAATATATGGTTAATGCTTCTGGTAGCCTCTGTAAATAAAGCTTGAATGTGTGGTGCTGGGCCAAGAGTTGAGTGAAAGGGAAAAGGAAAGCAAGCGGAGGAGGGAGCGAAGCTGTCGTGAAACCAGCACTGCCTGTCCTGTGTGCTGTCTTCTGGCTGCACGTAGGGCAATGGTTCTCATCTACTCTTCTAAAATAACAGCAAAGCAGCTGCTGACTTTGCTGTTGGGTAAAACACGTTGTGTGAGAAGAAAGGGAGGGATTGTTGTGTGTGTGGCCCTGCCCCCCGATTGTCTGGTGGTTGGTGCCCCTTGTCCTGGCCAGCTCTTGGCTGCGTGCAGAGGTAGCATTTGCTGTGACCCTGTACCCTCCTCTCGCATTGCGGTCCAGATGGTCCAGGAGGAAAATCTGCTTGGCTCTTCTGTCCCTCTGCATCTTCTGTTTCTGCTGGGTGGGGTTGGAGGGATGTCTGAAAGTGCATGGAGACACCTTGCCAAATGCTGGGCTCTCCCTCGTGGGCTGTGGTTCGGGGGGCTTTGGTGTTGTGTCACGGGGCTCAGAGGGGATTAGAGACACAGCCTGGCAAGCTGTGACCTGGTGCGCACTTCAGATGAATCTGTTCTGTCTCGGCCCCCACCCCAAACTCATGCCGCGCTGAGTTACGTAGCAGGTGGCTTTAAGTGAAGTGTTGCTTTGCCACCTCCCACTCTCCGTAGGTGTGCGCGCGTACGTATGAGCACACTGCTGGCTGGAGGTTCTGAGTGAAACCGGGGAGAGTTTATTTCAGTCAGTTCGCTAACAAATGGCACTCTTTGAGCAGATGGGGAGGAAGGGTGCATTTATAGTGCCATCCGCTTCTGTCTGACGTTCCTGATCTGGCCTGACAATGGCACATCAAACTGCTGTCTGGGGTGGAGGAATTTTCCCTCTCGCAGCAGGCTGCCGTTGCGCAGCGGCTGAGCATAAGGGTGCAGCGCTCCTGTCCTCACCGTTGGGTGTCTCTTGCCCAATCTGTCTTTCCTTTCCCACCCCCCTGGATCGGCGAGGGAGGTATGATAAGCCTGGCTGTTGTTCTGCTCCCCTTGTCCCTTGCTCCGGATGATTCCTGAGCCTGAGCGACTGGTGCCATGGGTGATTAGTTGTGATGTGACTGGATGAAGACTGGCAGGAGTCTCCGATGCCTCTAACAAGGAGAGCAGAAGAGAAGAAAGCTTTTTCTGGGTGATTAGCTATGAGGGGGGAATGAGCACAGTGCAGTCTGGAAATTAGTGTTGATCTCTTGGAGCTGCGAGCCACGGGCAGGGTGACGACTCTTTCCACAGCACGTGCTGTTGGCACAGAGATGGCTTCATGAACTGTGCACCGTGCATGGCTTTAGCAGAACCAGAGCAGCAAATCTGCCTTGCTGCATGAAAGCAGGGAGCTAGCATGCCCTCCTGGCTTTCCCAGGCAGGGGGAAAATGAAAACACTTGAACAGAAGAGGAGTAAAACCTGGGGCTGTTGGCAAGACTGGAATCACTCTCCTCTTGTGGATCTCTTAAATTCTGCCTGCCAGATGTTTATCTTGGTACTCTGTGGTACATGAAGCAACCCCTTCACACAATTGCTGTGTTTTCTGTGGTCTTTTAAAATGAGAATGAGTCTGTGGAAGGCCTGACCTGTTCTTTGTTCCCAAAGGCAAGGCACTGCAAGGGATTTCATTGTTTCAGCAGTTCGAGTTCTGCATTTTAGCTCATTTGGCAGCAGGTGACAGTGTTTTAGTGCTGACTTCTGGCTGAATTCCAGCCTGGAGTTAGACACTGACCACCCTCCATTCTCTCCTGTAATTGCAAATTGTTAAAGACTTCCTGGCTTCCTGTCCTCTGAAGCTGTACAGTGCCATTTTGGTCTGCTAAGTTGTTGCTGTATTCCACCACAAAGATGAGTAGAAAGACTACTTTATGCAGTACTTACTCGCTGCTTTGTGTAAAGCTGAACCCACCTTTTCTGGGCTCTGGAGACCTGAAGGAATGGCAGGAGAGATTATAACTTTTTTTTTTTCTCTAAACACTGGAGGTTACTTCAGCTTATCTTACTTTAAAAAAAAAAAAAGTGTCAGGAGAGCCAGATTTTGTGTCCTAAACTTCTGAATAAACAGCCTACGATATAGAAATGTTCCTGAAGACTCATCTGCTTTGTGGTGCTTGCATTAGGATTTGTGGTTATGGGTGTTAGCACAAGCCTACTGCTATAGATGCTTTCCTGGGCTTTGGTTCCCCATTTACTAGGCGAGATCAATAGCACTTGGTAGCTTGGGGTCATCTAAGCAGACTTTTTCCGTACAAAATATTTATTTGCCTGCTCCTGTGCTGAGAGTGCATGGCTGTTTTGAGTGAGGCTGTAGCTGTTCAACTTGCCTTCTGTGGTACCCTGTGCACTTTGCCATTCTGGCTGGTGGAGCACAATTCCAGTTGTGTCAGAGGTTGGTCGCTGCCTCAGTAGCCCTGGGTCCTTCAGCTGCAGGGACCTGGCGAGGTGGGTACCCTTGGGGTGAGTTTCTGACCCTGGTCACAGGCTCTGTTTTCTTTCAGTATACTCAGGTTAGTAGAAAATGAAATGAACTGCCTGCAGGAGAAACTCCAACATGGGGTATTCCTCTAAAACCAGAACCCCTGAGGCAAATGCAGACTGGAAGCTCAGAGTATGTGAAAGGGCTTGGTAAAGCCTGTGAATTGCTGGGCATCCCTAACAGTCCCAGCAGCCACGACTTTTCATTGCTGGTGTGAGGTTCCCATCACATCAAAGGCTTGTCCTCAGGTGCTCTGCTACATAAGACTGCAAGAAAGTGAGATGCTTGTCACAGAAACATGAGTGCCCAGAGCTCACAAATCTTTGGGAAGTGGCTGACGTTCTTAAGATGACAATTTCTTTGAACAAGGCTTTTTAGCATGTAGTGACGAAGCACCCACGGTCTCTTGTGTGCTTGGTTGGGCTGGGGAAGCCCTCAGGGTGATGTCTGAGTAGTCTGTTGGGAAAAGTGTTTCTAAAAATAAAGCTGTCATGAAGTAGACACTTGGACAGCTGCAGTGATGGGCTTGCTGCTTAGTGATGTGCTCAGCAGGGAAAAAAATCCTTCCAGATTGAAACCAAATATTTCTGTGGTAGTGGTTTGGACAATCATCGAATCGTTTAGGTTGGAAAAGACCTTTAAGATCATCCAGTCCAACCATTAACCTAACATTACCAAGTCCACACTAAACCAATAATATGGTATTTTTCTCATTTCAGAGGAAAATATTAATGAAGTGGCCCAGCCCAGGGGAAGCATCTTCACCTTTGGGATGTCTGTCTTTGTTAACTAGGGAAGGTAACAAAGAGAAGGAGATAGCGTGGCTGGCGGCAATAGGAATTCCTGACCCAGGACACTGGCCCTTCCCGCTCCATGAGGGAGGTCAAAAGTGACAGTGGGAATTAGGGGGGTCAGGGGAGACGGCTGGGATGTGAATGTGGGAATGGGGAATGGCTCCTCAATCTGGGGTGGGACTGAGCTTGGCACATGGTGATCCCAGAGCTGGCAGAGCCTAAAACATAGTCCTTGTCCCTGCAGTGCCTAAAACCAGTGTAGTCCAAAAAAGCCAACTTGTCTGTCTTGTCCTGCTGAAGCCTTGATTTCAGTACAGGAAAAGTCACTGCCTGGAGGCAGTTGCTCCCCAGGGGACAACGGGATATGGAGACGTTTGGATCCAGTTTGTATCTTGAAGCTTGAGCCTGGGCTCCAGCTGCCCTCAGTATCTAGGCTGCTTGCCTACCTGGCTAGCTGGGGCAGTGCCCCCAGAAGGCTTAGGAAGCAGCTGTACTACAGTCGGCAAAATCCTTAGGATTCAACACTTTACCACGCCTGGCTTAATTTAGCCCTTCTTTTTCCCCCGATTTGCTCAGGTACTCAGCTGTTGCTGGAGATCACTGTAAATATTAACAGATCCACTGCTGGTAAAAGTATTACAAAAATCCCAAGCTTGGACCTAGCCAAAGTCACGAGCTTAGCTTAAAAATCATGGAGTTGAATCATGTGGAAGCTCTTTTTCTGTGCAGAAAAGGCATTTCCAAGTGGGGAAAAAAACCACCAGCCATTGTCAGGGTCCTGGTAAAGCCACCAGACTTGGATTTGTTGTGATCCAACAGAAGTATGCAATAGCGAACCAGGCTTTTAAAGAAGCTGGATAAAATAATTCAACTGTACTGTCAGGTCTGCCCTGCGTGAAGTTGCAGGGGGATGTGGCTCATAAAGGTGAGGAATGCTTCCCTTGAATGCCCAGCTTTGATTAAAAAGCTCTTGGAGAATGGTCATGGCAGCAGTGCTTTGCTGCCTGGTGAAATTAGTCTTCCATGCACTTAGTGTAATTAGGAGACCTGCTGCAAGGAAGACACAGTCTAAAAATGCAAGGAACAGTTGCCATTTTGCAATGCAGAAGGAAGAGGTGAGGCATAGGGAGGCTGTGAGTTCTGTGGGGTTCTGAAGAACCGGGTGGCTTGAATTCCCTGCCTGGGGAGAAGTGGGTGGGCCAGCAGAAAGTGGTTTTTTTGGGGTGGTTTTTTTGTTTGTTTTCCTTCAGGGGCTACAGAGGTGTCAGGCTTGGAGATGGTAGAAGGAAGGACTATTCTGGTCAGAAAGTCTGATTCTTTGTAGTCCCTACCTCAGCCTTGCAGTTCCTGGCTGATCTTTAGCATTGTTTAGAAAAGTGTCCTAGCCTGATTTTTAGGATGCTAGAACTGCCTAGAGCTCTTCTCTACGTATATATTGAGAGAGACACCTGCACTATCATAGGCTTGGTGCCACTGATGGTCAACACTGTAAAATACTAGATATGCATATGGATGTTTTGTGTCTCTTATTTCCCCAGATTGGAGTGCGCGCTCTCGGGCAGCAAACCACCTGTTAACGCAGGACATACACAGCCTTCGCTGCTCCCGTATGACCTGAGTGGAGCTGGTGGTCTCTGTAGATTCGCTTGCAGTGAGAGCCTGAATCACTCGAGGCTCTTGGCTTGGCAGGATTTCAACAAGGAATGGGTTAGCACTTGTTTTATGCGTGCAGATATCATCCCACTTTGTTCGTTTTCCTGGAGACTGCGCATCATGGCACGACTTGCCACCAAAGGTCTTGGCTCCAGCGGCAAATTTCTTGTATTGCCCCTGCCCTCTGAATTGCCGCCCGCTGCCATTCTGGCGTGGTGGCGGTCTCTGTGCAGGGGGGATGGAGGAGCCTAGTGCAGCCGAGTGCTGTGACTCGGGGGAAAGCTCTTGGTTAGCACTCAGACATCAGAGTGGATTAAAATCACCATGCATCAGGAAGCTTCTCTGGCACTTTCATCTGTCATGTGGCTGCAGTACGAAGCAGCCTCATCCCTCTCCCTTCTCGGCTCCTGTGCAGAGTACAGATGCTCTTTTGTGCGTAATGGGAGAGGGAGCTGCTTGGCTCACTTTTCCTTAGGTGCCTGAGGGCCAGTTAATGGTTGGGTTGTGCAAGGGGAGAAAATGTCTCCGCTGCGTGCTGCTGATGCCTTTACAGAACAGATGACCTGGGAGGCTCTGGCTATCTTGAGCCTGGGAGTGGATTTAGCCGGCAAATACACAGTTTAGCCACTGGCCACTAAAGCCAGATCTTGGGCTTTGCAGCTTGGACTCCAAAGCAAAACCCAAATGCAAATATTCACAGGATGTCAGACTGGTGTGTTATATCAGGAATATCCATTATCTGTAGTCCAACTGTCCCCACCCTGCTCCAGACCTTATCTGTTCATAGTTAGTAAAAAAAAATCATAGAATTGCTGAGGTTGGAAAAGACCTTTAAGATCATCAAGTCCAGCTGTTAACCTAGCACTGCCAAGTCCACTGCTAAACCATGTCCTGAAGCGCCACATCTATATGTCTTTTAAATACCTCCAGGGATAGGGACTCAACCACTTCCCCGGGCAGCCTGTTCTAATACTTGACTACCCTCTGGGTGAAGAAATTTTTCCTAATGTCCAATCTAAACCTCCCCTGGCGCAACTTGAGCCCATTTCCTCTCACCCTATCGCTTGTTACTTGGGAGAAGAGACCAACACCCACTTCACTGCAACCTCCTTTCAGGCAGTTGTAGGGAGTGATAAGGTCTCCCCTCAGGCTCCTTCTCAACTGCAAAAAAAAAAAAGTGAGTCTCCTTTTCAAGAAGTGCAAATAGCGTGTAGCTGGACCTGACCCTTTCACTGTTTAGGACATCGGGCATCTGCATGTATTTCAGGACTGTTGATTTGCTTGGTCTGGATTTTATGTGTGAACTACTGTGTGCTTGACAACAAGCTAACTTAGAAACCAAGTGATGCAGGCCATTCAAAATGGGAAAGGCTCTTTTGCACAAGTCATCTTTCTTGGGCATTTGCTGGCCCGGTCCACAGCAGCATTTGAGGTCCTCATATGCCCTGGTCACATGACCTGCAAGAGGCTTGTTTTGGGGAAAAGAATGCATGGGAAGAAATTTCGGGGTTTATCTCACGCTGTGCCTCTTTCTGCTTCCCTAGTTGTGTATGAGCACAGATCCCGGCTAGAACGATCCTTGCAGAAGGAGCGAGGGGAACACAAGAAGACGAAGGAAGGTGAGTCTCTTGCATGGGTGGCCAGCTAACCCTCCAGCTGCCCTGTGGGGAGACGTGTGTGTCGTACCCAAAGCGTTTTCTGCCTTCAGGGCCATGTGTGGATGTACTGAATGCCCCCGCAGCGAGATTCGTCCCTGGCTTGTACTTAGAGAATAGCTAACTGACTTGTCCATTGCCCATGAGCAAAAAGGTGCGGGGAGGTGGGTTCTGTTCTCTCATATTCCTACACATGTCCTCAGCCTAATCTGTGAGTAACAGCACCCACGTTGTGGTGTTTGAGCACTTCCAGTGACAGATAAACCTGGCACCAGAGCCTGCTTTTTTTTCTTGGAAATATGTAAACTTTCTTAAAGTGATCTGAAGATGCTGAGTTCTACAAGTGCTTAATAATATTAGCATCCTTGCGCTCCATAATACATGGGCAATACAGACTGTCAGAGCCTTTAAAGCTGACGTACAAAAGTAGACAGACACATGCAGGATATTTTAAGACCACGAAATACAACAGAAAGTAGAAAGCTAATAGATTAGCTCATGTAATTTTCAGTGGAGTAGTGTGCTTGGATGTCAGACCCCTTTGCACCTGATTGTTGGCAACTTAATAGCTTGGCTTTTGTCTTCAGAACTGGTGTGTGGAGTAACATCACTACTCCTTACTCCTACATGCGCTGTGTTTCTGGCAATGCTGACAGACAGTATCCAGGTTTGGCTGTAGCTATGTGGCTATATAGCTAAGGGAGAAGCTGCATTTCTGCCTCTTCTTTTGGTTATTTGGTGGGGACTGACTGAGAAAATGAAGCATCCTAACAAATATTATCTTGTCACGGGACCTTCCCATTTTAAGAAGGGGGTGCAGATGAGATCAGCAGATGAGTTCCTTTTGGTCTCACAGAAGCTTTGATTTCTAGTCATCTCCCATTTCAGAGCACCCTAAATCCTTACACAGCTTCAGTGACATCAAAATGTAGCCGTGGGTGCTGAAGTAGGAAGTCACCAATGCACTTGCCTATAGAATGGGAAAGGAAGGACATTTGGGCCAGACTAGATGGGTGGACAGCTCTCGTGGAAAACACTGCCGCCTTTCTGAGGGCATTGAGCGGAGTATCTTAGCAGCATCTGCATTCCAGCTTGTCGAGCTGCAGCCTTTTGCTCAGCAAGGGGCTGATTTCCTCCTTCCCTCCCTCCCCCCAACAGAATATAAACCAGATCCTTGTTAAATTCCAGCTCATTAAATTGTCTTCTCTTCTTCCATGTCTAGATTTTTTAGTGTATAAGTTAGAAGCTCAGGAAGCTCTCAACAAGGAGAAGGTAGGTATGGTTTATTCCTCAGAGTGCATGTGTGCAATAATGGTAAAGGTTTTTCTAGTACCACCACAGCCATGAGGCCGGTGCTGCTGTCTGGAAGGCGTGAAAGACTGAGTGTGTATGGTACAAGATGAACTTTGGCTGACTTCACCTTGCAAGGCTGTTGGTGTGTGAGGATTT